CGACGCTTTTTTTGAACTTTTTTTTTTATTTTATTTATACAAGCTTGGCGTTCTTTTTCATTTTTAGCATTTTTTGAAACCAGTGGAGTTAAAGAAATTGTGCAAAATACAATGCATTAAAACGTGGACTTGGCCATTTTTTTCAAAATTTTTTTTTTTGATTTTTGTGGGATTTCAATCATTTTTCCAAACCAAAAGAAAGAAACTTCTAGCATCTAGGCTCCCAGACCGAGTTACGTAACACCCGACTTATGTCACAAAAAAAGACTCCAGTTAATATGACAGATTATTTGGATTTACTTATAAACTAAATAGAGGCTTATTTCAACTTACTTTAGTCTATCCTCTTCAGCGTAAGTTCCGTAGATCACCACCATTTTAACTAGCCAATGGCCAATCACGATATCGCATAAAGATGATGTACACTTGCCAAAAAAAGTTCTGGGAGTAACTAGATGTCAGGTAGAGGTTGGGTTTACACACACCCAGGTACTTAGCCGATATAGGGACCCCCAGGTACTAGGCGACATAGGGCACTAATTAGAAAAACGACCTTATGTACTCGATTGTAGATCGTTAGTACATGATTGTACAGTGAAAATATTTGTTTGTACATTCACTAATTAATTTTAAAAAATTAATCAAATTTTGACATGATGCTGGCCGACAAAAATTGTAAATTGTTCGATCAACCCCAATTAAGGGTCCAATCGAAAGGAAATCGTTTGGAGATTCCAAATTTAATGACCCCATCGTTTGTACAATCATTTATAATTAAAAATTATACTGAAATGTCTAATTACCATTTATCCTTATTTCCATAGTATGCGTACAGCCTAACACTATATTTGAACATATTTCCAATGACTAGAAGGGCACAAATGAAATGATTAACTTCCAATCTGAATTGATATAATTCCCTTCAATGTTATTTAACATGAGAAACTTTTGTATAAAAATATTGTAAACACACATACAAACACTTTTTGAATACTAATGTCGGTAATGCAGCGGCTGTCCGCATACTATGAAAATAAGGATAAATGGTAATTAGACATTTCAGTATAATTTTTAATTATAAATGATTGTACAAACGATGGGGTCATTAAATTTGGAATGTACAAACGATTTCCTTTCGATTGGACCCTTAATTGGGGTTGATCGAACAATTTACAATTTTTGTCGGCTAGCATCATGTCAAAATTTGATTAATTTTTTAAAATTAATTGGTGAATGTACAAACAAATATTTTCACTGTACAATCATGTACTAACGATCTACAATCGAGTACATAAGGTCGTTTTTCTAATTAGTGCCCTATGTCGGCTAAGTACCTGGGGGTAACCTCTCTACCTGAGATCTAGTTACAGATAGTTTGAGATATAGTGAGAGGTAAGATCTAGTGAGAATTACCAACTTCATAAGAGAAATGTATGCCCTAGACAGATGGATAATAATCGAAACCCGAAAAATGTGCATAATAGCTCGTTGCTATGTGCCTATCTTTGTTAATAGTCAACTAATTCAACCGATAATTGCATCAGTGGAAAGCTGATACGCGATTTATATAATGTAACTAAGACCAGTTTTTATCTAAATGATCGCGTAAATTGATTATTAAAAAAAAATAGATTGGAGGTTGTGGAGGGGGAAGTTGTGTCGTGTATAGATACTTGGTCGCTCTTGGTGATCTTTCGTGGACTTGGCCGATACGCTCCCGCGTATCTCGATGCTAAAGAAAAACGCAGAAAATCTTATGTAATAACAGAATTTTCAAAATAATCTTGTAGAAATACAAAAAATACAAAAGATTATCCTAATAAAGATAACAGTTGCATTTAGGGCGAGTTTTCGGTTCAAGTTAACCACGGTTAACGTGTGGTTAAGTTAAGTTGGGACCCCCCACCACACAACCTACGTGAGGGGAATTATTTCTCCTACCGGCATGAGTTGAGAGGAAAATGGCAGACGATTAGGACAACAAAACTCGATGTTTATTCCCTCAGTTCCCAGTTTCTAGTTAATTGTGTCTAATAAAAAAGAAAAGCATTGAATATTAGTGTTCCATTAAGACGAGCATTAAGGAAATCCTATCTGCGATGGCTAACAATGACACGTAAGGATGGAATAAGTGTTTTATTTCAAAGTGTTTACAATGGATCATCGTGTCCTTACATTATTTTCCTGAATTTTTAAAATAATTTTATACTTGTAGAAGATCCACCAAAATTCGAGCCCAAAATTTCACTCAAGATGAAAAGATGTCTCTTGTCACTATCATCCAGAAGTTTGGTGAAATAATTGAATGCAAACAAACCAATTCTGTATCAAAAGGAGATAAAGACAAAGCCTGGAACAGTCTTCACAAAGAATATAATGTCAATGCAGATCGACCCCGTACTCTTGACATGTTGAAAAATTGTTGGAACAATTTAAAGAAAAAGGGCAAGAGTTATGTGGCAACAGAGTATAGCGAGAACGTGAAAACAGGTAAATTTTGCGGACAAAAAATCTGATGAAGTGATAATGACAAATTTCAGTTGAAATTCCCTCATTGAAAATTCAGAATTTCGTTAAAAAAATAATCGAAAACTGTGATTTTTCGGGCAGTTATTTCATAGAAATCAATAGAAATCATGAAAAGTTATTCTTGAATTTGCAATTTAATGTTAATTCAACAAAATTTGCTACTCAATGCCGATGTTTTAACTGCAAGTTGAAGTGACTTAACGAATCCTCACATTCGTATCACTTGAAAATGTTGAGCTCGATTCCACTATAAGGGAAATCGAAATTTCATGATTATTTTCCCCTCCCCCCTTACTTGAATTCAATGGAGTTCCTCTGAAAATGACACGTCCATTAAAAAATGACACGTCTATGTCCATTAATGACACGTCCATTAAAGTTGGATAGATTTTTTAGAAAATGTATGGCCCTGTTCATGACACTCTTCTTCACTCTGTACGTGTACAGAATTTCTTATATTGCACTTAAAAATTCGAAATTACATTTTCCGTGATTAGTGAAACTCTTGATAGTCTTCCCTAGATCTGAGGAACTATTCAATAGATGATGAGGAGTTACTAATAGTTATTATCGATTGTAGGAGGTGGCATCAAAAATTTTTAATCCGACCCGCTCACGGAGAAAATATTAAAGGTGATTGGGCGTCAGATAGTGCCCCTCAAAAATCCCTATGATTCAGATGCTCTATTCATTGTGGGTGACGATCATGATGAACTGGAGGATCCAATTGAAGGGAATAAGGACATTCATAGATATCTTCGAGACTCCGGGCAACTTCCAGACTGCTCAAAAATGTCTGTGAAGAACCTGAAAAAACCTGTGAGTTCACCTCTAGCTGAGCAAATGATGAAAATACTGAAGCCTGATGATACAACTGGACTGAAGCAAGAAATTAAGAAAGTGGATTTTGTTGATGATAAAAAAGGTATTGCGGATATTAATGAGGATACAGACTTTGTGCAGCCACATGAATTTGTCGACCTAAAGAAGGTGGAGGAAAACTCTGTTCCCTGGAAGGTGACACACATTACTTCTCTTAACTATCGTGCAATCATTGAGACCATTACTAATTTTTTAAATTTCGTTTAGGATGAATCGGAACTCCAGTCAGAGCAGGAAAAAAGGATCGACATGCAAAATCAGTTTCGTTCTTTTCCAAACATTCTTGATGCACCTCATGATGGGATCAACTTCCAACAGGAAACCGAGAGCTGTTCTGAAGAGAACAAAATCAACATTGAAATCAACAGAACTAAACTCCATAAAGAACGCCTAAAAGTCAAGAGATTGGATCTTAAAAATGATTTGCTACAGCTGCAGTTGGAGAAGAAAAGATTGAAATTGGAGGACCTGAAGAATAAATTGGAAAGAACAACAGAGGGGGAATGAACAAATGAATGAGTAAAACCAAAGAAGAGTTGCCAAAGGTTAAATTTTCGTATTAAGTATTGAAGAAAAGTTCTGGTTTTTCTTGTTATAGAAAAATAGATTTATCAAGATGTTAGATGTTAGATGATTATTAAAATGGAAGTATTAATAATCGAAATTTCTTTGGAATGAAAAATTACAGGGATTGAAAGATGTCAAGTACAAAATACTTTTGAGCTGTGACTTATATGATTATTACTTCCGATGAGAGTTGTCTGACATGTCAAATAACTGCAGAGTAATGAGTCATAAAGATATGGAGAAGTGATTATTATTATTTGATGTTGTTCACGTAGTTTTTATGGACGAGTAACAATGTGCAATCCATGCATTACTATTTATTTTTATTTATATACAAAGAGCACGTTGAAAACCCACTAAAACCATTCCTAAACGTCTTTTCGAAGGAAGTTCTTATTCTTTTTTCTAGGAAGTTCAATACATTTAATATAACTATTTTGTAGTCAAGGCATTACTGATGTTGAACATTAGTAATATAAAAATTCAATTGTTTGATTCTAGTTATAAGGGGATCGTTAGTCATTCGCGATTCTGTACGGAAGAGATCTCATATGTTATCGTAGACATTACAATATCAATGTAAAGAGTAAGATAGTGATAAAATCTCGTTCCTGACATAAAAATGCAGATGTTAATGTATGTTACGAGGAATAATTTTTCATGAGCTGTGGCCAAAAATAAGGGAAGAAAAGATTTTGTCTTTTCCCTCAGTAGCACGTTATGGACTGCCAAATACTTACTATTTAATTACAGTTAAGAGATAAAAGTACCTTCATTCCACGACGTGTGATAATATAATGTTAATTGAAATGTTAAGCTGTTCATGAAGTGTTCAATATAATATTTAAATACGTCCAGTTAATACGAAATGGAGGATGGTGTTCTGCATCTAACATTATGAAAACGGTTTACCTTCGCATTTTGTATCTTGTTTCTTTTTTCGAACTCCTGCTATTGAAAGGAGTCCGTTGGAATTCGTGGTTGATGAGCAGACGTTTTCAATAAATAAATAACAATTGAAATACATATTTAATTGTTTTAATTTAGGAGACAGCCCTGAGTATTACAAAAAATATATGCTTATACTTTCTAATTCATCACAGCGTTAATTAAGGGAGAATTTTTCTATGATTTCGGTGCATTCGAAGTTTAATTCATTCTTCTCAATTTGTTCTCCATATTGTCTTCCACAATCGCCTTTAGTTTGAGACATGGACCTATGTATTCAAATGAGCCTACAAAAAATAAAAATACTTTTAGAATCTAGAATCATAATTCTCATTACATTAATATGGATAAGTGAGATATTCCATGTTGGATCACTTGACTCCTGATCCTCACGCCCTGCAAAGTTACCGATTTCTGAAGGGTGTGATAACTTCGAAAACCTACATCTACATTTTCTGGATATCTTGTTGATCGTTTTATGATGCCTGTTTATATTATTGGTGTTGCAATCTACGGATTTTAATCCATTAGTAATTCCATTTTTCAGTCCACTTCCACGTTAAAATGAGGCTGAATAACAATTCAGGATTCACTAATGAGGGATTTTAGGAGGAAAGATGAAAGAACTTTTTTGTGGACAATTTTATTATCTACAAAAAAGCTCTTTCAATATTTTCCCCTAAAATCATTCAGTATCGAGCTAATTCAATATTTAATGAGGTATGGAAAATCGACTCGATATCCTTTACCTATTGAATTTATCCTAAATGAATTTATATATTGAACGGTGAAGTAACTTCTGTTTTTTGTCCTTTGAGCAAAATTTTAGAATCATTTCTAACAATCCTTTGGTGAAGTAAACTATGCTGCTACAAATTCTTCAGTTGATCATTTAAAAAGCTATGTGAAATTTTCAAGTTATTTTATGTTAATACTTCGCTAAAGATTCCAACAAAATGGAGAACAATCAACAGGTAGTAGAGTTTCATTTCCTCGACATTTATTACTTAAATTGAACTTTTTATGCTTTCCAACACTAATGAAGGAAATTTGAATTTCAACGTTCATAACGTTCGAGAAAAGCTGTAGGATTCAATCCAAGCAAAATTATATTTGGTTGATCAGAACGCTAGTTAATTCCGGGATTCTTGCAACTCGTTTCACCCCTAAAGAAATTACTCTGACTTTCCATAGGGTGATGAGCAGGAATTGATTGATTTGCCATGTAATACCTCATCAGAAAAATAAACTTACTGTTCAAAATACCCGGTCACCAGCTGTTGTCGTATGGTATTGCCGTGACCTAGTGCAATGTTTTCATGAATTGCATTGTATGCCTCCACATCGACTTCTCGTCGGCGAAAAGGACGAAACCATAGGGAAATGTTGTGTAGTGCAGCAGTAGCAATAATTACGGCCACAGTTCTCTCAGGAGTATGGAATCGCGACCCTATCTCCACCACCGTAAACCTTCTGGCCCATACCTCAAAGCAGCGCTCAATACAGTTGCGTGTGCGAATTTGAGCTTCATTGTACAGATGCTCGGCAGCTGTTTGAGGATTCCTTAGGGGTGTCATCAGGAAAGGGAGATCAGGATAGCCAGAATCCCCGAGGAGAAGAGCATCTCTGTACACCCCTTGATAAAGCAAATGACAAATTCTCGAGTGACGAAATACCCTCGTGTCGTGTGTGGCACCGGGCCAACGAGCCACAAAATTCGTGAACTCTAATCTTGCATTGCAGATTCCTTGGACATTTATAGAGAACCAGCCATGTCGGTTGCGGTACAGCTCACCATTTTCGCCACCTGTAAAAAATATTTCTGTATTTGCTAAAAGGGATTCGGGAATTATGGAAAGAATTCTGAACTGTCGAAAATTCAATTGAAACACTCCGGTAATTTCAATTGAAAGTTACTCAATAACAGATAACATATAAATTATTATTGAGCAATGAGATGATCGTTGAGTCCATTCAGGAATGTCAATTATGAGAAATTATAGACATTTCAACAACACCCGAAAAAAAACCTGATTTTGAGATTTTTAAGATCTCAAGTTGAGTCTTTTAAAACGACTTTTCGAAAGTCCCCACCACAGGGTTGGCACCTGCCAGTTTCAAGTTGAGGCTTGGAAAATTCAACTTAAGGTTTTCAAAGTCTCAACTGGAGACTTCCATAAATCTCAATTTAGGATTGTAAGTCTCAACTTGAATTTCTTAAGATGGACAGCTGTACTGAAGTCTCTGTACATTGAAATTATGATCGATAGGTATAAAATATTCAATCTCTTTGGATTTATTACATGTGGGATAAAGTCAATGAATACTCCTATCTGAATTTGAACTCAAATCTATATCTTTGAAAATTTACATGTAGCTGTTACTCAAATTGAAAAATATTGATAACAGGGATTAATTTCTTACCATAACTTTGGTGTCGAACTTGTCTACCATCAACGCAGCCTACTGCATTGGGGATTGCAGATCTGGCAAACAGCTCAGCCTGAGCTTGCCTTTGTGCTTCTGGAGTTGATGGGAATTTGATGTAGTCAGGGCTCAAGGCTGCTATAAGTGGAGCTACTCGATGGACAATTTCCCAGGTTGCTGATTTACTTATGCTCATTGTGTCTCCCACAGTAATCAAATATGAACCAGTAGCAAAAAAACGTAGAGCCACTAATAACTGAATACTCGAAGTGATCCTGTGATTTCTAAAAAAAAAACAGTGCTCATTTACTGCACACAGTTTGTTGGATCAACCTCACTCCAGGGCACAGATAATACCTTAAAGTAATTCTTCGACCTCCAGTGCAAAGCAATTATAGAAAATAATAATTACCTTCGAAGAGGTCTTCTCAGACCATGCTCTATTCTCCGGAGCACGTGGAGGAATGCTCTTTTTGACAAACGGTATCGTTCCCTGAATTGTATTTCTGGGAGAATTTCAAAGTGGTTAACTGGTTCTGCGTTACGTCGAATAGGACGATAACGTCCAGCACCACCAATTAAATCACCGATAACGTTGTTCATTACAAAAATTTAATTAAAACCACATATGCCATATTCACATTTGAATCGATTACACGCGTAAACACAGGCGCCGCCATTTTCAGCACAGATGGAACGGAGCGGTGGTGGGTGGTCCCAACTTAACTTAACCACGCGTTAACCGTGGTTAATTTGAACCGAAAACTTGCCCTTACTATGTACTTTTGCGTGCACATCATCGCTCGAGAGCTGCACCCTCTGTTGCTTCTGCTGCCATCAGCACGATTCTATGGACTTACGAGCAAACCATAAACTGTCCAGTTGGTTGCCGTATGAATATTGGTGTAATTCGAAATATTTAGTACTGAAAAAATGCCCTCAGGAGCTCGTAAATACTTCAATTCTCGAGAACACGTAAGATAATGTCGTCATTTGAAGAAACTGAAAGTGTTGGATGATAACGCTGTTATAGAGGGGAGTGCTAATGATTAAAAAGCCAACCAACAACCGAGCTCTGAGAATGTAAACAGTGGGGATGATGAGGATGAGTGGATGGATTGTGATGAACATTACTGTGAAGATCTGACTGTAGCTAGTGTTGAAGGTGTAACGGAAAAAAAGTGCATTGAGTGATAAGTTTTCATTGACTGAGGAGTGTGCTCGTGTTCACACACCTGATGACTTGTATGATTTGAACGATTGTGAGTGCGAAAATTATATCTCTACTCCAGATCAGCTTTCGACTGACAATCCATCCGCGAGTGAATTTGCTGATGAAACAGGTCCACTAACGAGTGTCACCTCTAATGAGGAACCTATGAATTTACACAGTAAAATACACAAATGGGTTATGGATAATTTAGCAGGCACCAGATTAAAAACCTTCACCGATTCTTTACAAATTTTGAACAGTGAAGGACACAGAAATACCTTCCACAGCTTCTAAGTTACTCGGGTTCAAACACAAGATAAAGGTGAAACAATTAATTCCTTCCAAAGGGACCATTGGTGACTATGTATATCTTGGCATAAAAAATGGTTTGGAGGGTCGCGTAGATCCTGAAGTCTATGACGAAGACAAAATTAGTGTGCTAGTATTCATCGATGGAATGAAGGTCTTTAAAAATACTAAATCACAACTGTGGCCCATTGCTATGACGATTTTCCATCCAAAATATGGAGTCAGCCCATTTGTTGTTGGTGCATATCATGGCAGAGGAAAACCGAATAAAGTGTCACAGTATCTGGGAGATTTTGTCGAAGAATTGAAAACTTTGGTTAATCAAAGTGTAACATTTCATGGACGAAAATATGCATTCGATTTAGAGGCGATAGTTGGAGATAGTCTAGCTCGAGCGTTTTTCAAATGTACCAAAAGCCCAACAGCATTTTTTGTATGTGAATGATGCACTATTAAGGGAAAAACTTTCAATAAAAAAAGAGTCTATGTCAAATTGAATTACCCCTTGAGAACAAAGGAGACATTCTGTGATCAGACTCAACCGGAGCCCCATCTTAACGATCCCGTTACCAAGCAACCTCTCATCTCTCCATTGATACATATTCCGAATTTTGATCCGATAAAAAAAGTATCTCTGCAAATAATGCACCTTTTGTATTTGAATGTAATGAAAAATCTCGATGAAAAGTGCATCAAAAGAGAAGAAATTGAGTACAAAATATCAAATGAACAACTGCAATTATTAAAAGTATCGATGAAGGCGATGACACCATTCGTGCCGAAGGAATTCCAAAAAAAGAAATTCGATGTGGATGATTTTTCAAATTGGAAAGCTACTCAGTATTCATTTCTACTATTTACGTTGGAGCTATCGTTCTCAAGGACGTTCGCGATACGCAAAAATATCGAGATTTCCTCCTGTTACATGTGGCTTCTCGGATTTTATGCTATACTGAATGGGTACTCAAATATACAGGAATGGCAATTAAATTTTTGAAAGATTTTGTCAAATTAATGCCAACATATTACGGATCAGATTCACAGACCATGGTCTTTCATCATCTCGGACATGTAGGTGATGACGTCAATTACTTTCAGAGGAGCTTAACTTATTATTCAGCTTTTTGGGGGGAAAATTATAACGGGAAATTGAAAGACCTTATTATTTCAAATGTTAGAGTGCTCTCACAACTGGTAAGTCGACTACATGCTCTAGATTCATCTGAAGATGTAAAAATAAAAACACGTGAGATTGTTCGAGACATTATTGAAAGTAAAAATGTTGACCTCACTCATGTCAATTGCCAAAAATTCCTCGCATTAAATTCGGTTACATATAATGATAAAATTATCTCTTCTCAGCGTCCTGATAATATTGTACACCTTTCCAATAGTGATGTTTTTATGATTGACAGATTGCACATGAAACCACAGTGTTTAACGAATGTTAGAAATGTTGATGACATTTATTTAGTGGGTTTCAGAGTAGAAAAAAAAACGATGCTTTCAAAACGCCCTGTCCTTCCCAAGAGGTTGGAATCTATAAAATAAAAAGAGTTTCTAATTGTTCTGAATGGGTACCACTACGAAATGTGAAACAAAAATGTATGTTGATCGACCATAACAATAGAAAATATGCTTTATCTTTACTTCACGAATAGATTAATTTTCTAGCAAGTGATAGCAATGTAACGTTAAAATGAAGATATGAACACTGTTATGAATAGCTTACTAGACACATTTTCCAGTTCGCCGAAAATTATTCAACTTCGAGATGAGTTAATAATTCACAGCATCATTATATTTAGTCCCGCACAAGAAGAAAAAAGGTGGAGAAAAATTATCTAGAAAATCAGGACAAATTTTACTATATGAAATGTAATCGTAGAGCGAAATGTAGTTCAATCAAGATACGCGACAGCGTATCGGCCAAGTTGACGTTTTACCGGTGTGACGTCATAGGCCGATGCTGTTGCGTATAATATACACGACACAACTACTCCCCGAATGGTTTTTATTTTTTTTCTCGTAAAACGAGAATTTTTCGCGAAATCCGTCCTTAGTTACATTATATAAGTTGACTATGAGCTTTCTAAAGATATTTTTACTTTCTCGATAAATCAATAATAAATAAAAATATCCGCCATAGCAACCATCATAATGTAATATTTCGCGATTTTATTTTCTCTCAGCGTTAGATTTGTTCGTCAAAGTTGGCAACGAACATAATGTCTGTTTCTCTCTCTTTCTCTCTCTTCTTCCCTTTTTTCCGGCTGTTATCGGTAGCGTTGGTAGCAGAGATTATAGAGGAGATTGCAAGCGCTTATGGAGAAGCAAAGAGGATAGACTAAAGTAGAGGCTCAGATCCGGGGGTTTGGCCGACCCCAGCGTGAGGCTAGTAGGACCCTATGGTAAAGAGGGCGACGCGGTCGATTTCGGTGTCTGGCCGAGTTCGCTATTTCGATAACTGGGCAGTAATAGCAGTCCCGCTGTCACAGGGATAGTTTCGAAGGGGAATTTATGCCCTCCTCGTCCTCAACATATTCTTAATGTTTTTCAGGTGATTCATTTGCTGGCTAATTAATATTAAGGAATGAAACCCAGACGGTGTGATGGAGAATTAAATTCCCCATCAATCGATTCCCGTTGCATCCCTTAATCTCTGTAACAAAAAAATACAAACTACGACAAAAGTCATGGGCCAGTGAGAAAAATAATTTTCTTCTCGGCGCACACTGACTTTTCACCATTCGCCCGCGAATTAAAAATTTGTCTCTCCTCTCCTAATTGCAATTAAGGGATGAAAAAAAGGCTGTTTGACGGAGAACTAAATTACCCATCAATTAACCCGCTTTCATGCCTTAATCTCTGTAAAAAATGGAAGAAACTGTCATGGAAATCACAGCGCAGTAAGAAAAATAATTGTTTTGTGGCGCATAGTGACTCCCG